CAGTTCCAACCCCTGCCATGGGCAGGGACACCTTCCACTAGACCACGTTGCTCCAAGCCCCTGAGTCCAACCTGGCCTTGAACACTGCCAGGGATGGAGCAGCCACAGCTTCCCAGGGCACCCTGTGCCAGCGCCTCAGCACCCTCACAGGGAAGAACTTCTGCCTAAGAGCTCATCTGTATCTCCCCTCTGTCAGAAGGTGATATACAGCCTAAACTGTGGGGTGCTCAGGCTTTGTCCTAGAGCATCTTGGACAGACCTGAATAGGTGTATTTTGCAAAACCTGTCTGTTTGTAAGCCTGCTGGGAGCAGCCCTGCCTCTGTGTGCAGTGTGTTAAAAAGTGTGTCCTTTCCTGAAGGTGCTGCCTGGATCCCACCGTGTTGGCTGATTCTCTCAGATAAGGGTAACTTCATCAAGCGCATGACAGCTGATGGGCCCAGATGCAGAACTGTTTTTCAGCAGCTTAATAAATTACCACTCATCAGGTGAGGTGCAGACACTGTCAGGGTGTGCTCACAGCCTCCCCACCTGGGATGGAGAGGAACTGGGCCAAAATCTTCAGGAATGGGACCATGCTGCTTCTCTACTTGACAGTAAACTGCTGGGGCTCAGTAGGCAAGAGTAGTGACTTGTTACACTGGTATACAAAACCCCAAGTCTCATCCCAAAGTCATCATTTACAATAGTATACATAAAGGGTGTTTGGTTTTTACATTTCCTTTCACTTCCAGATAGGTGAAAGATGATGCTCATGAGAGATTTCTGCTGAAGTGTGTGATGTAGCCTGTAGCCAAGTTACTGGGACCTTCTGACCACTACTTTCTTTTGGCCAAGATTTTACTCACTGGCCTCGCTTCAGTGGAGCAATGATACTCTTACTCAGCCCACAGGTTCTCATGACAAAGAACAATATTAGTAATAGCTTATTAAGGAATATTTATGGCAGGTTTAAATAGCTGCTGCATGTCTTTTCTGTCTATATTGTGTAAATTATTTATTTCTGTTAAATATACCTGGATGTCTCAGATACCTATTTACTTTTAATAGCAGTGAGAGAAAAAGGGGATGATGCAAACTTCTCCAAAAACCAGAAAGTCATTTCTGCTGTATTCTGCTATTCATTTTCAGCAGGCTGTACAATGCGAAGGAGACAGGTTCAGGAACACATACTACTTGTAAATAAAACTGCTTGCCTGTGAATCTCAGATGAGAGTGCCTGTTGGAAATGTGCAATTGCAGTTTATGAAACAGGAAACAGATGTACTCTGTATTGTAACTCTCTGTGGTTGGGAGTTGGGGAGGTAGAAAGAGTATGATAGCTTCAGTCAAAGATACACTGCAAAGTAAAGGACTGTTAACTCCGAGAATAAGAAGTAACACGTGTCACTTACTGCCATGCTTCTCTGTGGGCTTCAGGGTGCTTTGCAGATAGTAACTAATTAGCTATTGTCCCCTCTGCCTCTGATTTGTGATAGGGACATGAAGACCATGATTCAGTGGTATGGTAAGTCCAGCTCTTGGGTTCCTAGCATTAGATCAAACCATGGTGGCAGCATGATGCAAAACAAGACAATCCCATGTAAAGTCACTTTTCTACCTCAAAAATGTTCTAAAAAGTGCAACTGGGTGAACTCTGCATTAGCAAATGTTATGCTAAGTTAGGAAGTGTCTGATTTCTGACAGCTAGGACAAAGCATGAAGCCAGGTGAAATTCCATCTCATATACTCTGTATTAGTTGATGGAAATGTAATTGTGTGAGCTGCTGTGATGAAGGTTACATCCATGATGCAAGTACATAGATCTGCTTCCAGTTACTGTGGAACCAAGTCTCCAGGACCTGGACCTGGAGAACAGAGGTGGCAACTTGCAGTCCCAACTCCATGCAACTGGGCCCATAAAAGGAAGTTTTGGCCACCCGATGACAGCTGCTGAGCTGCTTTTGCTTCAAATGTGTGTAAGCAAATGAGCAGGTTCATGCTCATGTCTGCCTTGCTGAGCTTTTGTTCCAGACACATCAGCCATTGCCTGTGCACGTGCTGCTTCTTTGCTGATGGGGCACATTAGGAGATGACCCACAAAATGCTTCCTGCTAGGATTTTGTCTCCAGTGGCATCTTTATCTAACATTCATTGATGTGTCTATCACCAGAATACCCAGTGTTTAAACTGCTGGCTGTACAGTACCCCTGCAAGATAATTGTGAGCTACTGTCCCTGTTAACCAATGGGGCAGTGAGGCACCAAGGCAGGAAGCACTGATGCTTAAGGGCTGAATTGTTCCTACCCAAGGCCAGGTTGGAGTGGGCTTGGAGCAACCTGGTTTATTGGAAGGTGTCCCTGCCTATGGCAGGGGGTTGGAACTGGATGAGCTTTCAGGTCCTTTCTAACACAAATCAGTCTGGGATTCTATGATTCTATCCTTGGTGCCTATGATGAGACTCACTGTTCTATTGGCAAAGGAAAGAAGAAAGCAGACAGGAGAGATATGTTTGGATGTAGACTGCCGGACTGCAGTTTCCTTGGAGTTCAGAGCTCAGCAGGAGCTCTGAGAGCTGGCTGTTCTCCCAAGACACTGCCTCTCACAACTCCTGCTGAGCACAGAGCTTAGCAGGCGATCCGAGAGTCTGAGGTTTTCTTCAGATTCCATTGTTGAGCTGTGCCTTGCAGCTGCAAGAGGCAGGGGCACCTAAATCCACCCCATTTTTGAACATGCTGGTATACCTATCTCAGTAGCAACATAAGCAGTTGGGGAAGCGGTATGCTATCCTATATCTCTCTACCATGCACACAACTGTCTGCTTCTCACAGCGTGGCCACCGGTTATGCTCTCAGCATCTGAGCTCCATGGGAAAGCAGGGATACAAATGGATCTGAAACTCATTTCAGGCTAAATTTCTGAGATATTGATGCCTTTCTTTTCCGAGCAGCTCCAGTGGACTTCGTTTAAATTTCCTGATATGTTTCTGCTGTTGGACTCAAATTTATGAGTCTGCTCTGAAAAGCAAAGCCATGTTCCCAAATTAAAAGCAAAGCCATGTTCCCAAAGCCTGGGGACTGGCATGTGTGAGACGATGGGAAAAGTAAACAGCACTCCATGGGGAAGAGATTTTACCTGGGCTTTGATTTCTTTCCTGTGTCCAACAAGAAAGGGCGTAAGAACTTGACCTAACTTTGGTTTCTTCACTGGCAAGCTCAGACAGCCTGTTGGGAAAGCAAGGTCAAGCAGAGGCAAGTGTGCAGAGGTGGGCAGCATCAGCGTGACACCAGGAGCAGAGGGAAGGAAATTGGCACATCAAGTTGTTTTCTTCCATTGTGCCAAGCAAGAGCAACTGGGGAGAATAGGTTGTTGCAACGTAGGCAAGCGGAAACAGATGGAACTCTGCTCCCCCATGGCCAGGCAGCGCTGCAGTCAGCTTGAGAAGGGGATGTGATAGAAGCTGTGGGATGCCCAAGTATCAGAGCAGGGCATCTGAGGTCACCAGGGTGGGTTTCAGAGTGAGAGCTGGCTAGTGTCGAAACACTCTGTGGTATTCCAATGGGAATATGAAATAAAGCCATCCTTACAGCATTTGTTGGGCTGTTGCTAGGCAAAGGTTTCAAAAACAATCATATTTTGCAAACTGATTCCTTCTTGTCTTTTTTCTTCCCTCTATTTTTCTCTCCTTTCCTGAGGCCCTTAATAAGCTGTGTGGGCAGAACGTGATTTTTATCGCATTTAACTCTTCCTTGCTGTTACTGTGACTCCTCAAATCACCCATGAGTTGATTTACAAAACATTCGTCCAGGTATTTGGTGCATTGCAATTCAAGTTCCTTTGGCTGCATTGGTTCCTAAGGCCCAGGAATTGTTTCTTCTCCACAAGAACTGGCTGAAGGAGATGAGTTTTCACAGCTTATAGCTGGTATGACTTTTCTTCTCTGTGGGGATTGGAAACCCTTATTCTTTAGACATTATTAAGTGCAATCTGTTAGAATGTGTTAAAACATATCAAGTGCTTTAAATTAAGTGCACCAGAACAAAGCTATTTACTTCATAAGATTACTTTGTACGTGAATCTTAGCTACTTGTCAGATATCATGATTACAGCCATGAAATGGTCCGCCTTTTTTTCTTTCGTGAGTGGTGGATGGAAATAAACCTAGATTCACCCTTCCAAATATGTTTCCCCTTGTGCCATGACATCCCACTGCCTACACTGATTTGTTGTTTGCCAAACATGCTTTTGTGGATGATCTCTCTTGTGCCCTCCAGGGCAGCTTGCTTTCCTCACTGCTATTTGGGGCCATGGCAATGAGGTATGCTTGCATCAGTGTCCAGGACATGGAGGTCAGTGCTGGCAGGGCAGCCCTAAGCATCAGCCACACTTTGCCAGCAGGAGAAGAAAGGGTCATGTATTGCTCAAAGCCCCAGCTGCTTGCTTTTGATCTGCTGGGCTGTCATTAAGACCTACACTCACTGCATTTAACTGTAGGCACCTACCTGGCAACTCTCTCAGCTGCCCTGAACCCCTTCTCTGGGATTACAGCCATGAAGCAGGCTCTGCAGCTGTAAGCCCTGCATGCTGACGCATGGATGATGACATCCAGAGCCTCCTGGCATGTGACCAGCTCCAGGCCTCACTGTCCAGTTTGTCCGTTCCAGGAAAGATCAGAAGCACCTAAGCCTGGTTTCCAATGAGCTAGAGGTGAGATCATCCCTGGCACAAACACCAGAGCAGAGATCTGCCTTTCTCAAAGCCATGGCCTCCCAGCCCTGCTCTGGCCCACTAAAAGCTGCTGTTTCAATCTTCCCTCTCCTGAATGTATCCCATCCTGAGTGGAAGGCTGAAGGTAGGAGGTCACCTCTCCATATTCCCTCCAGGGCAGACAGCTGAAGACAGGAGGTCCACATCACCCCAGGGCCTAAGTTGCTTGGCTCAACAATGACTGGCAAGAGACACAGGTGGCTGATTTTCAAGGCAAAGGATTAACATCACTTCCTGAACTTCGTGACATAGCACTGATCCTCCCTGCTGGAGCAGCTTTGAGGGTGGTCATGCTGCTTGGCCACAAGATTAGCAGCCAATTTCTTGGCATTGACTAGTGCTGTTGGCTTCATTTGGTTAGTATCAGCAAAGGATTTCAGCTCAGGTTTGTATCTGTCAATCATTATTCCTACTCAGTGTCTAGTATATTGTATTCTCTCCCATCATCCCAAGTTGACAATCAGGTTATCCCCGAAGAGTACACAGGATACATTTGAAAGCACACAACTTCACACTATTTGCAGAGCACCAAATGTTTCCTGTGTCCAAATGCTTGCTTTTAGCTCCCTGGTTTTCCCATGGCACTTTGCATACATTTTATCTCCTTGAGCGCCACAAAGGAATCTACATTGTCACATGTGAAAAAGTGGTCTTGAATGAATTAGTCTTTGCATCTCAGCTGGAAAATAATAATTTGAACCATTCCCCTGAAGCAGTGAAATAATATGTGTAAAGTGCCTGAGAGGAGCCCAGCTTGGAGGCTTCTACCGGATAAGAAAGTTCAGATAGACAAAAAACCTTGCACAAAGGAGAATGTCATGAGACCAGCCCATAGAATATACTGAGGAAGACAGAAAACAACAAGTCTAAGTAATTTTGGTAGCAGTTTGCATTTATGAAGTTCTGGCTCATCAGATGTGTCAAATTAGGCAAATATACAAGTGCTATGTTTATCATACCAGGCTCCTAATGAACATCCTCTGTCTTCAGGAGCTCCATTTAAACAAACAAGAGGCAGAATGGCTGGGAGGTAATGAGGTGGTGAGAGGAATTTATGTTGAATTCAGCACTTCTCTGACTAACTCTCAATCCATTAGTCCCAGAAGAAATTTCCAAGCATCTTGCTTGAAAGATAGCTCTCTTACGCCATGTTGGCTAAATGGCCTGAACCATGTGATGTCTACTGCCGACAGAGCCCAGACCCCAGCTCAGATCCTGCTTCCATGGAGAGTGTTACAGTATCACAGTATCACAGTATGATAGAGATTGGAAGGGACCTCAAAAGATCATCTAGTCCAATCCTCCTGCCGGAGCAGGAACACCTAGATAATGTTACACAGGAATGTGTCCAGGCGGGTTTTGAATGTCTCCAGGGAAGGAGACTCCACAACCTCCCTGGGCAGCCTGTTCCAGTGTTCCGTCACCCTCACTGAGAAGAAGTTTCTTCTCAAGTTTAAGTGGAACCTCTTGTGTTCCAGTTTGTACCCATTAGTGTAGTGTATCCAAGTGTTGGATAAATCCAAGATTCCCAGGGGTGCAGGATTTGCTGGTGATGTGAACCAGGCCAGTCTTTGCTTTCTTCCATGCAGACTCACTTCCTGCATTAAGCTCTTGTTCTTCAAGTGCTTCATCTAGTCTAATTGGGCTGCTAGACTGAAGTGCTCTGATATTCAAGTGAATATCCCAAACATCATTTTCATCAGTTCCTTCTCACTGCATGCTCTGACTGTAACTGACAGCCATGAGCAGCAAAACCACCCCAGGAAAGAAAACTATAAACAAGTCAGAAGATCTCATATGCAGAGACGGACAATTTCTCCTTAAACTCAGTTTCACCCCATGTCACCAAAGAAGTAATTCACAGATGCAATCTTAAAACCTAGTTAATAGGTAAGCGGGCGTATAGCCTGGCTAAAGATGAGGTCTGCGTACCAGAGAGCTGATACATGTCTTCAGTACCTTGATGACTGTATCTCTGCACTGTGATTGCATTGTCCCACATCCTAGGTCTCTTACTAGGATTATGAAAGGCTGAGATTTGGGATATTTTCCTGAACAAATACCCAGTGTCTAGTGGGGGCTTGTGAATGTTCTTAGAGCAGTGATATCACAGCTCTCAAAGGGTAACTTTACCTTTTCTTAAGGGTTTTCTAAATGTGACTATTTCAATGTGTCATATAATCATATGCATTTATCCCTTAATTATTCCTATTATACCTGCTGGAGTTCTTTTTTCCCTTCAGGGTTGGAATCACCAGTAATTTCCACCTAGTCTCACTGGTGATCCCTTTGCCAGAGATGTTGATTTCTAACGCACACAGCAGTTACATACAAATGAATTATAACCATCTTCACTTACTGTTTTACAAATCTGTGTCTCAGATGATAACCTCCACCCCAATCCCCACTTTCAGATTGTATTTCTTCCACTGAATATCTGCATTTTGGATCACTCTCCCCCCCTGGCCTTTCACCTTTCCTCCCTCCCATCACTACCCTAAACTGAGTCTTGTTTCACTGTTTCCTCCTCGTATTTCGAAGTGTTCAGTGCAACACGGATGTTGGCTGCATGTTTCAAAGTCATTTCAGATGTGAATGTACTCATTCCTTTTTATTCTCAAGGAATTAATGAGGTTGTTAAATAAAACCAGACACCAACTTTAATCTTTTTACCTGTTCCCTCAGTATCTCTGCTTTTCAGTGTGGAACAGCTACTATTTCTTCTTGTTCTATGGTTATTCCATCAGTTTGCTTTCTGGATGAAGGGCTTCACATCTTCTCCACTCTATATGTCTCTTGAGACATCATACTAAATTTTTCTTTCTTTCCCTGCAACATCACCTTCAACTCGTTTGGGACTACTTGTCCATGTCTAAAGTAGAGTTGTGGTTTATTTGGTGCAATAAGCTCTCTTCCTGTGTACGTGTGAATACGCAAAGGAGACTAAAAATGAACATGTAGGCTTAGCACCCCTGCTGTTTCTTGTTCCTAGGACTTTTTGTATACTGAACTATGATTTGCCCTTAAGGATACAGCTAATGCGGGTTTCTCTTTCCCACATAATCTTCTCTCTGTTTGTGGAGACAGCAGGAGACAGGGTTGTGACCTGTTGGGTTGTGTCGCTCATCCACAGAGAACAGAGCAAGGTTAATCTTGGCAGTGTTTTCCAGGACTTTGCTCGGACCACCTTGCTATGACTCAAGCTCAGGCTGTTCCCTTTGAGAGTTGATGCTACCATCTAGCAGACTTCACAGCCGGGATTCATCTTTAGCCCCTTGGCTGCTTCTTTGCTCACTTCATCCCTTTCATCCAGGTGCCATGTCCCATTTTCTCACCTTTCAACATGACTGATGCCTTCAGCACCACTGGGACATGCTGTTTCTGGTTACAAGCTTCACAACTCCTCAGAAAACGGCTACATTTTAAAAAGTATTGTGCACCCAGCATCTTCCCTAAGGACCAGTGAAAGTTTTTGAGTGCTTAGCACATGTGAATCATGGTAAACATAGACTTTTAGCCCTAACCTCTATTCTGAAAGTTTAAGCTGTAAATAGGGCTGCAGAAATGTTCACTAAAGGAGCTGTCAGTACACATACATCATCTATTTATCATTTTTATATTGTACCAAGCTTAACCCAAAGGAAGCATCCTTCCTTTATCTCCTCTCTCTCCAACAGGTTTGAATACTCAACTGTTTCCACTGTAAGTTCATTTCTTCTGCTGGCAGCAAAGTTAGAATAACTTTTGAGAAGAAATTTATTCTGCAGTTGTTACAGCTCAGGCACTTTTATATGTGGATCAATACTGAACCAGCAATTTGGAGGTGGCATCTTGGCTTTTTGACTCAGGAATGAAGTGGTGGACAACACTACTAGATTGTTTCACTGCCCCTATGAGACATTTCATAGATCTGCTAACAAGAAAAGCTATAGTATCTGTAGCCTGTGACCATACAAATACACATCCACATCATACCGTGCAGTGACATCTTTTTAATGCAAATGGACACCACCTAATTCTCACAGTGTTTATAGCATAACTATGGCTGAATGGAGTTCTTTGGGGTCAAAATCCTATTCCCATGAAAGCAAATGGGAATTTTTCCTCTGGCTTTCCTGGAATCCTGATCTGGCAAGCCATGAATGCAGATACATCGCATTTCTTTCTCTTTCTTCATTAACTTACTGTGATTTTTTTCCTGGGAATCAGATTAGAGAATTCTCATTTGGCCAAATACCTCTCTGAGGTACTCCAGTGAGACTGGAACATTTCCTGTGGCTATCATATCCTCTTCAGTATGCTTCAAAGTGAACGTCACAGCCTTTAACCATTGAAACAGGCTTTTCTTTCACAGCAGCAAAACAGCAAACCAGCCTGGATAAGATGAGAGGAAGACCATAAATATTACATAGGGTCTGAGGTATTTGCTGTAAATTCAACAGGAACTTTTCCTGCTTCTCACTGGGAGAGATTTCTTGGGAATAGAAAACTCTCTGGAGTTTCTAACAACTTCTTAAGTGCTATTGGGATTTTAACATTCCATATTACACAACAGGAAGCAGAAATGCTGCATACAGTTGCCTTTAATAGGAAACAGTCTATATAGCAAGGGAGGAATATTTTAAATGGTCTTTCCCTTTCTTTTGTATTTTTTAGTTAAAATGTGGTTTAAATAATTTTTCATTTACAGAACTCTCTATGCTTCTCTATACTGACAGCCACTAGGACAACCTGTTATACTCTAGAGGCTAACTGGATCCTCATTCTCTCAAAGCTATGGGACTGGGTTGGGAAGCCCAGGAGAAGAGGCTGTCATACAAGTGCCCTCAGGCTTCAGCTTTGTGTTTGCAGATGTTCTTGCACAGATAGGACTGAGCTGAATCTAGATCCAGGCATTCTTTAATGTCAGCAGGACCTCCTAACCTTCAGCTTGAAGCAAGATGAGTTTCCTGTTGAGCCTCTCTTAGAATGGGGCAAGCTTCAAACTTCAAATTGGCAGTGTCTGGTTTTGTTCGCCTGGAATATGAGTTTCGAATACAAAAGCCTGACTGGGAATAGCAAGCCCACATAAAGGGAATGGGATGCCGGTTAAATCTACAAGTCAGACTTCTGACTCCTCGCTTATGCTGAGCATCAGAAAAGGCAGGCAGAAAAGAAAGGCAGGTAGGGCCATTCCTGAAAAAGGGGTTTCCATACCCTCCCTAAAAATGCCAAATGCCTCCTTTTCTCATTTACACGAATTAAAAAAAACGCAGTCAGTACAACATATATAGCAAACTATAGTTAGCAACTCCTTAGTAACTCCTTCACAGAGAATTTACTCCCTAGGATCTTAATTCACTGAGGCATGGCTTAGCCTTCTGCTACAGATGGGTTATGCTGTTTGAGGTTGTGCACACGGTCAGGGTGGTTTGCTGAACAGTGTTTGCTAGTCATATAGCCAACACCTGACAGCAAGGAAGGATTCCCCTTGCTCCTCACTCTGGAGAACTATCTTTGTGCTTATTGAGAAATACCTAGACCATTTGAGAGTCATAAATGTGTTTCCTGACTTTCAGCTGAGAGAAATTCCTTCCAACTGATGTTGCTTCTTTATACAAACCGCAGGGTACATGGGCTTGAATCGAACCCAGCCCTTTCACTTGAAGGTAATTTGTGGCTGTTCCTTGGGTCTGAGCAAAGAACGGGGCTTGAACTTCTCCTTCCCCAAAAGCAAGTGGCTGGTGAGTAACACTTGTGAGTAAGCCTCATCAGATGTCTGTGCAAATGAACCTTTCCCCCACCCTGTCTGTAACACGTACAGAGTGATCCAAAGAAAGTTGGGGTTTTCTGTGAAAGTGGGGCTAGAGCAAGCCTTGGCACAGGAGTTAACCTCCAACTGCAGAGAAGCTCTGCCTGGAACCCTTGTTTCATTTCCAAATATACATGTGGGATAATGTTTACAGTAAATACAGATCACCTCCACGTCTGGGAAAGAATTTCATCTCCATGCACTTCCGTGCTTTCCAAGAGAGTTACATTTTATAGCATGTTTTTTATTTATAAGTGGTAGAAAGGGGCCTGTGTTGTAACAAATGAGTAATCAATGGGTAGCACCCAGCAGCTTGCTGTTGGTTGGGTGTAATTTTCCCATCTGTAAAGTGCTCATAGAGATTCACTGACCATTTACAAACTCTGTGCACCACTTAGAAATCAGACTGCTGAAAAGGTGAATATAAGAGGCCATATATTAAAGGAAATTTCATGCCTGGGAGTTGCATTAGGTCCTGGGTGGTTTAGTTCCATACTTATTGGACAACAGTGAGAAAAGGGCTCCTGTGCCTTTCCAGCCTCTCCCAAAAAGAGCAGGACAGACAGAGTTTTTGTCCTGGAAGTTTGCTTGCATGCTCATCCTCAGAGTCTGGTACCTTTTGCTCATGTTTGTAGTCATTTCCAGGCAAAGCTGTTGTGAATAATAACTAGACTGAGACTGAGATCTGGAAGTGAGCTCCTGAAGAAAGCTTTTGTCCCTCTGTGCCAGAGGCTTGCATGCTGAGTCCAGATTCAGACAAACCCTTACCAGTATCCCCTGCAACAGGCTTAGAGGGACAGAGATGTAGCACAGGGATCACTGTTTGCAGCTTAGGTGTGATTATAAAACAACACTATGGTGGGAAGCAGCTCTGGCTGGAGCAGTTGCTCCTGGGGATGGGCCCGCAGAGCTCCCTCTGTGCTTTTTTTCCCTTTAAATTGGAAGCTGTCTCCTTGCTTGGAGACGCAGGAATCCTGTCTTCACCTTCTCCACCCTGCATCTGAGCTCCAGAGCAGAGGCCACCACAGCCGGGCAATGGGCTTTGCCGGATGATGAGAAGAAACATCAGCCTCAGCCCCAGCTGGGAGGGATGGGAAGGATTCTACCCTCTTGTAATCTGCTTTTTTGCTGCTCTGGAGTGAGGCATGGGAGAGCAAGCTGATGACAGATCAGGCCTTTTACCTCACTCCAGCTCTTTCCTGCAGGCAGTGCTTAATCTCTGTTTCAGCATTTCTGTGCCCTTGGGATCCAGGAGATGCAGATTCCCTTTGCAGTCCTGCTCCTGACCCGCAGTGTGACTGCAAGAAGTCATTTCACAGCTGCCTGCCTTAGTTTCGCCATGCAGGATTCCTGTCTCTCACCCCTCTCTAGGGGATGCTGAGCATGAGGTTTATCCAGGAACTAAATTACCTGTAAAAGAGATAAAAGAAAGGTTCCGGTTACAAAATTAGATTCCTGGTTAGTAGCTTCTGACCCCTCTCATTTCTGGGGCTACAATTCATTTCTATTTGTGATTTTGAGCATGTCTGAACAATTTTGGCAAGTTTGGTGTCAGGAGTTTCTGATCTGGAGCTGTCTGCAAGAAAAATAGAGAGGTCTGTGTGTATTTTTGCCTTTCCAGGACTGAAAGCTGCTGTAAGTCCCAGAAAGGCTCTTCCTACATTAACAACATTTTGTGGCTTCTATCATGAGGCATATTTAAAAAGGCTTGGTTTCCATAACATGAATAATAAGGTGAAAATTGTCTCCTGTTACTATTTCTCAAGTCTAGCCCTCCTCCCAGTTAGTACCAGAACTGTCCCCCCCTGCCCCTGAGCATTGAATTCAACTGCTTAGGCTTGTTAATAGCTCTTAGGTTTAGCTTCCTGCATAAAGCCGTAACTGTAGCTCCTCAGTGGGTATAAATAGACACAAATACACAATGCAGTGATGCTGACTGACATTAACTGGGAAGAAAGCCCAAACGTGTATTCCTTCGCTTCACCTCTGCTGTCTGTCTTCTGAATGCAGACACACACACATACCAGCATGCATCCTTGTACAGACCAAGACACTGGAAGGGGTTTTGGAACTTAACCTCTTGAAAATCCTACAGCTTTCCTTCTCCTGTGTAAATGGATCTGTAGTTTAAGTCTGGATATGAAAAAAAATGGCCATAACAAGAACTGTGTGCAGACTTTTGACGGCATTTTTCAAGAACATAGAGTCTGCAGATGAATGTGGCGACCCACCAGAAACACTGCAAGTTTAGCATTCCTTCTCCATGACTTTATGTATACAGTGTTTGGAGGAGGAGGCTTTTTCTGGGGCTTGGGGCTTGGGGTTTTTTTTAAGAAGAATAATTCTAACCCAGCAAATCCTTTTAGAGTTAAAGGGGAAACCATCTCCTGTAAGGCTGTCTGCAGTGACTCAGCTCTGTGTTGGGGACCTACAGTGCAAAAATGGGGATATGAATGTGTTCCTCAGCCATTTCTCCAGCGATAGCTGCTTCCCACATGGCCCCATGGGTCCTTGCTCACAGCCAGCATCCCTCCACCCTGCATGAGGGCTACATTCAGCCCCCAGGGACGGGTGGAAGAAGCAGGATTCTGTAGGAGCATGTGCTCACATGTTAGTGTGCATGGATGTACCCACTTCAGCACAGGCAGATCTGAAAAGTGAAGGACACATAGTCTGGGGTCAGCCATCACAGCATCAGCGGGGCACACTGGCCCATGTTCATGTGGCACCATCCTGAAGGCTCATTCCCCAACTGGAGTTGCCACCAACAAGCCTATCTGTAGGCAGTGGACGTTGCTTATCACACCTTATCTTTGCCTTCTCCCCCACCCTCCCCCCAAGCTCTGCTTTTGGCAGCTCTCTGCAGGTCATTTCAGCCTATAGCACACAAAGCAGCTGGTCAGAAGTGTTTGGTCAAGGCTTTCCTTTTCTCCTCCCCCATAAAAATGGCTTTTAGACAAACTACTTCCCATGGAGAAATTCCCTTTTGCATGGACATTCCTGGAGGAGGGGGGAATGTCCAAAACACTGAATTGCTTATGGAGGAGGCAAACATCTGATGATGCTTAGACAGAGGAAAATAACCCCAAACACATTCATTTTCACTGGACTGAAGTGCTTGAGCATGTTTTCTTACAGAAATAACGTGTGATTATCCTTAAGTGGTTTCTGTGACTGATAAGCCTTTTCTAAGGGCTTGCTCTGCACTGGCTGCTCAAGGCATAAATTCCCAATGTTGTCTTTTTTTGAGCCTTCCATCCCACTTGGAGAAAAGCATCCAAGGGGATCACCCGCATCAGGCTGGATTTATAGGAAGCAGGCAAGAAAGGAGAGGGAATATTTTCACATTCTTTTGAAATATAGATTGGAAAATTTCCCTAGGAAAGAAAAGTGCTTACGCAGCTTTAGTTACTCTACATGTGCTTTGGATTGTGTGAAACCCTATCTGCTTTTTCTCAGCAGAGTCCTGATCCCCACATGAGAGAGGCAGACAGACAGGAAGGCAGACGGGCAGAGCCAGCCACAGGGACTTGCTGCAGAGCCCCTTCAACATCCTACAGGAAAGTGCTGAGAAATGGCCCCACCACCTGCATTTGTTGGTTCAGGAGGGTCAGAGGAAGAGGAGAAGATCTTCTTCCTCAGGCTTAGACCCAAAGAACTTGTGAAAGCACAATGATCAGTGTGCAAAGTCTAGAAAAGATGATCATGGCTCCAAAGTGCCTCAAACTTGTCATCAGGGGATGAGTCTTAAGGGTTAGAGGTTCTGTTCCTTTACTCCATGTCTTGATACTGCTCACGCAGCTGGATACTCCCTGCCCATGGCAGAGCACACTCAGGGTGGCAAACCCAGGCCAAAGCCTCTAACAGCATGCCCAGGAGGGCAGTGAAGAATGGATAAAACACTTTGATTAGTGTCAAGTCTCCAGTACTCTATCCTACCTGTGGAAGGTCTCACCTCCTATCCAGGCGCTAAGTGCTCAGACAGCTTTGTTTGCTTTTCCTGGAAATGAGGAGATTCCTTCCTCTGCTGTGCACATGTGTGTCTTGAAAAAGAGTCTGGGGAAAGAAATGCTTGTAGGCATGTGTGTATGCATGTGAGCAGCCACACTATCACTATAGATGACAGCAAAACAACACCTTTTTGTTGCTCCTGGCAGGATCCAAGGGCAAAAGCACCTGTGAGAGTAGAGAAGTCCCCTCGTGCTGTAATGGAAATGTAGTGTTGGAGAAAGCAAGGCACAGCTTCCAGGAGATGACTGGGCTAGCACAAGGACTTCTCCACTGCTCCTGCCCATGGAAATGTGTGTCCCCACAGGGGCTTGGCATATATGTGAGGGGGAGGAGACAGCTTCCTGAGAGGGGGTAAGGCAGGGAAAGCATTGGGAATGCAAATACCACAAACCTAATAATTACAGCCCAGCAGTGCTTCTAGCAGTGCTGCTTTTCAGGCTGGACCCTCACCCTCAACAGATTCCTTGGGCACCCCTGGACTCCTCTTGGCTGAAATCTAGGCAAGGTCTGGTAGAACAGCAATGTGGGGGCAGCTTCCAGTCTCCTGAATCAGCATTTTGAAAGCTAGCCATGCTGAGTTACCCGCCTTGCTTCCTTCCCCCAAGACATGTGTGGCTATATACAGAAAGAAAATACACATCTAGCTATGTGTTAGGACACACATTCCCGCCTCTATGAAATGTCAGCCAAAATGTAGTTCAAAGATTGCTCAGCCTGGTTCTAATGCTATTAGGCTTCAGAAATTACACCCCTCCCCAGGAATGGGTAAGAGCTGACACAAAGCAGCAATAACAAAAAATGTCCCAGCTGTTGTGTCTGGCCTTTTGAAAACAGGAATTCCTTGGTACAGAGCCTGAAATCTTACTCTTTCCATTTGGCATTGCCTGAAGGCACTATCACTAAAAGGATATATGAGGAAGGATTTATTGTCAGTATGGTGCTTGGAGCAGCAACATCAGTTTTTTAAAGACCTGAGTATAGACGGACATTAGGGAGCATGGGGGGTGGCCTTTGCTTAGGTCTGGTTTTCTTCCCAGGACTGTCTGCATGAAGAGCCACTTGCAAGAAACACGTTTTGCTCCAAAGTCTAATAGCCCTATACCACTAGCAGGGGTGGCTCATAGCTCTTCATGGTTTAGTCAAGTTGGCTGCAGTCAGGGCTAAAGAAACATGAAGCAGAACAGGATCCTCTAAGGAGTATCCCTTGGGATAACAAGGTACGAAGTTCCTCTTGGCCTGTTTCACCTGAGTTTTCTCTGGGGATAACAATTTTCAAAGGAACAAACTGTAGGAATAGCCTGTGATTCCCTTAGCTGCTGTCAGAGTACGTGTAGATTATTCCCAGAAATTCAGGACTACAATGGGAAGCAGGTTTCAGCAAGACCCGGATTAAAAGCAGAAGCTGTTGTCTTTTAACTTTCTGCTGCACAGGACCCAGGGCAGGTAGCGTACCCCTGACAGCATCCCAGGCCAGGGCTACAGGAACTGGCTGGCAGTATGAAGGAGCTTTAAAATGCTCCACTGAGCTCCAGTGTGCCTTCCATAGATCTTTGGTACATGACTTGATGAAATGGAGCTTCAAGTAAAACACTCAGTAGCCCAAGATGCTATTGCAGGAGTTGGTTACTTTGTATATCTCACCTCAAGAACACAGAAGCCTACAGCTTTTGAAACAGCACATTTCCTCCAGTTTATAACATGCAGCTATTCCCAGGGCTGTCAAAACCTATAGTTTTTTTGACCTGGACATTTTCCTTTCATGGCTTGTGACATTGTCTCTAGCTCAGGCGGTTGGTAATGTGTCTTCAGTTGCATGAAGAAGGCTGCAGTGATTTAGGCTAAACTGTGTGCTTCCTCTGACAAGGGCAAAAGCAAATCTTTGGGAGCGCAGAGCTTTCCTCCTTTCAGCCTCCCCCCAGTCAATCCACATCTTCCCTCCATCTGATGATACAAACATGCAGTTATTTCAGTGCAGACTCCTATTGTTCACAGAGTCCTTTAATGGTAGAAACCAAACTTTGTACTTGGAGTGCTTAGTTGGGTACTAGTACAAGCCCTGATTTATAGCTATACTCTTTATTAATGCTGTGTGCATAATCATGCCACTAAAATCAGGTCCTCTCAGTCAGAACTCCACATCGGGCTGAGCACTGGGGACTGGCATTGTGATAAGATTTTCACTGATCAGAATGTCAAACAGTTGGAAATTACACTGAGGTTTCTTCTACAAAAAGTGCTACTTTTAAAGTTTTCTTTCAATATATATAATCATGAAGAAAAATCTGGTTCAAAACACTTAGACTTGGTAAGCATTTAGTGTAAGTAAGGGTAAAACATAGCCTAGATGAACATTTGATAACGAGAACTCATGATTTGCCTCATGACTAACACAATTACTTGGAGTTTGTTTTGTAACAAATGCTGCAAATGTAAAATCCT